CAGGAGGTTTCTCTAAGGTGAAGAGGGATGAGCAGAGGTTATGGTATGAAAGGAAAAGAGAGGAAATTATCGAAGGAAAGATGGATGATGGAACCTCTTCAGTGTAAAAAGTGATGATGGGAGTTTGTTGTGGTTTTCAGGGACAGTAAGAGCTTTTAAAGTAGCGAGGGATGTGATGAATTTAGTGAGTCTGAGGCATTAAATTGGTCAAATTAAAGGGGGAAGAGGAGAGTTTGGGAGTTAATTAAGATTTTAAAAAAAGCTTGAGAAAAGTTGTCAAGAGGAATTCTGGGAGTTTAAAGGTAAAGTTGTAGGGGGAGGGTGGATGATTGTGGAGGTCTATGGGTGCTTTGTTTAGATAACGGGGGTATGATGAAAGTTTGAGGTAAGAAAGTAAAAATTGTCAAGGTAAAGGGCTGATGGGAGATGAAGCAAAGCGAGGTGAGAGGAGTGTGTTCATGCACAAAGCATGACCGGGGTTTGGCACAGAGGGATGAGCAGACTGAGGTGTAAAGAGGAGTGAGGGGGTCGAGGTAAAAGGGAACAATGGTGTTCAGTTGGGAGGTTGTCGGGGTGGACAGGATGAGGTATCTGATGAGGCAAGGACTCACAGTAGGACTGTTGTTTAGATGGACAGTGGGAACTATTAAGATCAGTGGGAGCAGTTCAAGGTAAAAAGGGATGAGGGGAGTTTGGTACAGTGAAGCAGAGAGAGCAGCAGTTTAACACAGAGTTTGCTGAGGTTTACAGCTTTTGAAGGCACGTTGTTAATGTGCAGGGAGTTAATGAAGGCAAAGACGGACGAGGGGACTTTTGTGACCTAAAGGTGGATGAGGTAAAAAAGCATCATGAGACTTTGTCAGTGTACTGAAGGAAGAGCAGAGATTCAGTCGTTTCTTCTGCCATGCTCCTGCAAGGTTTGCGGGGAAATATCGCGACACCATCAGCCCTCGGAAGGACATCGCCAACGGTGAGCCAAACTGCTCAGAGAGCGAGGGCGACTCCACCAGCCGCCGCCTGTCCTTCATGAAGATGGTGGGTCTGGGAAAGCTGAAGAGGGAGGCTGTGACTGACCACTCCTCTCAGTGCCCTGAGGAAGAGTCGGTGCAGGAGGAGGTCAAACCCAGAGAGCCGCTGTCAGGTAAGAACAAAGCGAGGACAAAGCTGGGTCACGCGGACAAGAGTATTGTGATGATGTAGATGTGTCTGGTGCCTACGTTCTACTCTGGGGGGGCCAGACCACCTGCTGCAGGACTCCTGGTCCTGCTGTTCTGTGAACATACAGTAGTTCTTTATGACCCTGGTTGAGGTTTGGGCTCAGTGTCAGAGTGAGCAAACGTTTGTATAGTAGCGCATGTTGCAATTTATTTGTGAGCATTACATTTTGTTTTGCAGGAATTCAGGTCAGAAATCGTGTCAAGGAGATGACACTCCTACTGGTATAGCAATCTAACCAGCTGTGTACAACCACAGCCACTGAGACTGAGGGCTTAAAGGCCCTTCATTGGTGGCTGGGGGGGCAGACTTGGCATCAGGTGACCTGTGACAAACCCACTTGTCTGACCCAGGCCAGCATTGTACTGTCAGAGTAGCAGCAGACTGGTCAACGCTGGGTTTAAATGCAGAGATGTTTGATTCCTGACTGATGCTTTTACAGGCTTCAATGAATGACATGAGGCGACTCTATGGTGATAATTGGTCTGTTACTAGAGAAACGGTGAAGTTTTCCCATGATTATAAATGAACGTCCCAGTGAGACCAACTTTGGCTGGCCCTAACCTGAACCTGAACCAGTCTAACCAACAACAGCAACAAGTACAGGCCAGTCAGAGGCAGAGTGGGATGGGTCCTCTTCAGGTCAGAAGGACTGACAGATTGCATTTGAATAAATAAGTGAACAGTGCTAACGGGGAACCTAGTGAAGACCGAACGTTGGGTCTGACTGATCCTCAGTCTAATGGTGAGATCTTCTGAACTAGACTGGACGTTATGAAGGACTGTCGTAGTGTTGAGTGTGTTTTACCCCTGTGTTTCCAGTGTGGCTGTAACGTGCAGTCAGTCGGTACCAGAATGTGTTTCAGTCTGTTTGTGGAAGTCGCCGTCCAGCTTTATGGTCCAGTGTGTTTTCATACCACCCTGCCTGATCTTATCGTGGCCTGTCAGCAGCCTGCAGCTATTTCAGGCACCGGGACTGACAATGAGCAGAGCGAGCGGTCGGGGCGGGCTGGTGAACCCAGAGACGCTGTCATTCTCCTGGAGTTTTCACAAGGACGCTGGAATGTGTTTGGGAAGTGCAAGTGTGTGTTAGAAGTATTGGGCCGGTCCTGGAAAGTTTTTTTAAGGGCTTCTATTGTTTATGGCGCCCTGTTTACTCTGCTGTTTGTAATGAATAACTGGAGTGTGTCTTCTCAGTTCCTCCACACCCTTGTTTACAGTTACTCTGCTCGATAAAGCTTCACTGTGTCAAAGCTTGATAAACACAGTAAATATAGACTGTGTTTGTTTACAAGTCATGTGCCATTATCGGTTAATTATTTCCTCAGTTAATGGTTTGGTTTGTAAGACATCAGAAAATCCTGAACATTTGGATTTCAGGTGTTTTGTCCAACCAACCGTCCAAACCTACTCAGGCTTACTCAGCACCAGTACCAGTATTTGAGGGGTAAAGAAGGAACAACCAATCAGCGATATTTATTTTTAACATAAACATAACTGAACTCCTGTGAACACTCCAGTAAGAACCAGATGTACAAACAGATTCATTCCTCAGAGACGAGTCTTCTTCTTCTTCTTCTTCTTCAGTGACGAGTACAAGAGAATTAATAGTTTGTGGCATTCACACAGTTTCTTCTGCTTTTCACTTAGACTCAGTTTCAGTAATTAGAAAATTAAATGTCAGTCAGACCTCAACGTGCTGCATCACCTCATCTGGGTATTTTCTGGGTTAACAGTGTTTTAAACAGTCCACACAAAGAGACTAAAACCAACAACGATTTGCCTCTAGTTACAGTTAATGTCCGTCAGTCCTGGACCAGCTGAAACATCTGTGCCACAGACCTCCACTGGCGTTGAAAAGTGATGAAGAACTCAGGGAAACACACCGATGCACTGGGTGGCGTTTCCTCAGTACCAAACACACGTTGCCCTAAAGGCTCCGAACGGCCAGAACGTTGTTATAGCATCTGGAGTGATAAAGAGTCAGGGACCCTGCACGAGATCTCTGGATATTCTCATCAAATATCATGGTCTGGTGTTTCGTAAGGAGGAACCATGTTGGCCAGTGCAGCGGTGCTTCACTGGTGTCTTTAAAATACTGTGAACACAGGAAATGACAGGCCTCATCCTTTGAGTCCTCACACTGACCGAGACCTGGTCTGGGACCGGGGTCCTGAATCTAACTCTGCTTCGGTGACATCAGGATCCTGAGGAACTGAAGTCCTGGTTCACTGTGAGTCTGAGCATGAAGTGCAGGGAAAGTTCTAGATGTTCAGGTGAGGGCTTGTTTTCAGATGCTGCTAAAACACAGTGTCAGCAGATCAGGTTGCTGCTGAATGCTGACTGTGTGTGTGTGTGTGTGTGTGTGTGTGTGTAAATGGTACATAAGAGCCATGCAGGTGCAAACAGCTCTGACTCTTTCACTCCTGTTTAGCAGTGACACAAACGAGGCACACTCGCTCCTGCACCGTCGCCCGGTGTCGGGTCAGTCGATCTTTAGCTGGCTGATTATTTACAGACAAGAATTTCTTCACTTCACAACCACTGGAAAAAATCTTAACTCGAACATTTAAATAGTTGTTTCCTGAGTCCGGATCGGAGTCGCGCCACCTGCAGTGTGTCAAGTTATTGTGCAACTGTAAGTTTGAGGCTTTTTCACATAAAGAAACTTCTGCTGTGAAATGATAAAATGCACTCAGAGACCTGTTGGCCCTCACACTGCACTGTTACATGGCCGGGTTTCTGTTGCTTCTTTCCAACAATGACTTTCTGCACTTGAATCACAGTCAAATTCCAAAGCCTGGAGTCAGAAAAAAGCAAACACTTCCAACTATATCCAGGAGACACACCTGTTTACTTAACACCCGGGCGGCACATAAAATCTGAAATCAAAACACCTGTGTTCAGAAAAAGAACATTGAACTGCAAACAAAATCACAATCCCCAGTGAAACGGCTGCAGTCAGGACAGGAACAAACAGATACCTGCCCTCAAACAAGGTCCACAGGCCTCCAACACACAGGGAAAATAATTAGTGGTCCAAACAAAACCAGGGCTGCAACAACGATTGTTTCCATCTTTCCTCCTTTTCTGAGTAAAGGATTTATCATCGCCATTTATCATCATATTCATCATTTTTGTTTCTAGGATGCCTCTGTAAAAGAGCTCCTTGACCTCAAGTAAATGAAGGTTAAATAAATACTTTCTGACCAATTATGTCGACAGACTATAGCTGTAGTTCTAAATTCAAACACTCCTACAGGCCACGACGGCGACACTACCAGTCTTCTGTGTGGACGAGACAAGACTGGAAGAACAAAAGGGAAAAAGAATGTGCATTAGGTAAATAAAAATAAAGTGCTGGTATAAATACACACAGTTTAGTTGTGGTTTTTCTTTTTTTTTTTCTTCAATAGGTCTGAATCAAAAAAATCATGGGTCAGCTGTCATTTTGCCATTTTCCATGTGATGGGAAGGAGAAAAGAAATGACTACAATTGATTAAATAAGTCAGTATTAAATTAACAAGAATGAAACTTCTAAAAGGGAGCTGTTTTGCTGTCTTGTAATGTAGCTAGTGAGTTAGCACAAGGGTAGTGTGGCACATTTTACCGGTGCTCTCGCTCTTTTCAAGCCAGAATTTTCCAGGGTTTTTTTTTTTTTTTATTGCAACACAAAATAACACATTTACAGGACAAAGCACATAACATGCTACATGAGACAAATGAGACAACAGACATTAACAAAAGAGGCAAAGGGATTATTATAACTGAGGGTATTGAGTTGTGTGTGTGTGAAAGTGTGTAGTGTGTGTGTATCCAACTCTGTGCAGACTGATATTCATTACTTAAGGGAAAATAGAGTTAAACCAAATAAACTAGGAACGTGGAGAGGGTATAAATGTAAAGGAATGATTGTAGTAATAAAATAACAAAGAAGAAAAGGGGATTTTTCAGGTAGACATATACAAACATGTCTCAGATTTGACCCTGGGTTTGTGTCCTTGGTGATCCAGGTGAGACTGGAACCTGAACCTGGTTTCAGACCCTGAGACCAGGTGGTGTCTTTGTTCTTGGACTCTCTGTGACCTTGCTGGGTTTGAGAAGGACGAGAGTGACGAAACACAGGCTTAACGTTCTTTATACACACACCAGTGTGGAATTTACCCTTCACAGCCTGCCGCTCATTAAACCAGGGTCAGGTTACCCCGGAGCCCTGCCGGCTCCGAGCAGCAGCAGCTCTGTCGGCTGCTCGTCGGCGAGTTGCTGCAGGACTCGGGTAGAAGGTGGAACAGCAAACAGGATGTCCACACGCAGCGGTACAGTTGTGTAGGTGGAACTGGTGAAACCTGAGATCGCCCGTCACTGTTTCACCTGCTGTTGTGTTGTGGGGATTGAAATCAGCTTCATCATGTGTGTTTCTGAAGCAGGTGTGAAGGTGTGAAGTGTCCACTTCCTGTGTGACTGTAAAACCCTGGTGGACTCGCACACAGATCTCCATCTATTTTGGTAAATATTTAATCACTTGAGCTTAAATGAATGTGTGGTCTGCCTCCATGCTGGCGACAGCCGCTCTCTGCAGGCCCATTCTTCTGAGCCCGTTATGTCAGGATCACCTCGAGGGAATTTGTTTAAATTTACCACAAATGTCCTGGACCACACACACAAACTACATTTAAGAAGCCCTTTGTGTCTTTTGTTAATGTTTGTTGTTTCATCTTCTGAGTTGTGCCCTTTGACCTGTAAATGTGTTATTTCATGTTAAGCTTAAGGAGGAGAACCTGGCCTCCATCATTCAACACCACTGACAGAAACACCGTGTTTAAGAATCAACATGCTTCTATAAAAGTGTCCGTCCGTCTGTTCTGGGCTAATGAATGTGGGCCTGAACCTTCTGTCACAGGGTCACTGTCTGGAAGCTGGTTGACCGACCGAAGAAGCTTCACTCTGTAGCCTGGCTGGATGATCATCAGCAGACTGTTCTAGTTCATCTGAAGCTACCACCCTTATCGGTTTCTTTATGCCGGATCAATAACCGATCAGTTGGCTGCACTTGTCAGATAATCAACATGTCAGGTCAGGTTTTCTCAGTGTGATGATATTTTTCTCCACTGTTTATGCAGTGAAGCCTGATTTAGAGAGCCCGTTAGTGAGTATGTATGTTGTCCGAACTCACACACATGGTGATAATCCTGAGTTTAAAACCAACAGCTTCACTGGAGTCAGCTGAAAGACTTCAGGCAGCAGTAAGACAACAGTTCCTATGTAACTTAGAGCCAAATCACTGTCATGCTGGTATTGTCTGACCCTGAAATGTGCAGATCTCAGTGAGAACATGCTGGCGACTTGTCGAGGAGTTTGTTTTCAGCTCTACAGTTGCACAACCCCGGCCCAGTCACCCTCAGATAAGAGGTTCACACTCAGGCCTGTCAGGACCAGCACGTCCTCCACTGTGTGAGCAGCAGCCAGAAAACTACTGCGGGACAACCGCCTGTCACAGCTGCCTGCAGAGCCGCTGACAGTGGTTTATCTGACGCGTTTCAAGTGGCTGCACAGGGACAAACATGACATGCTTGGCATCATCCCAGGGAATCGTGCAAACATCCTGAAATAAGCTCCCCAAGCAGCGTCAGATGGGATGTGTGTGTAAAGATGGTGTGTGTGTGTGTGTGTGTGTGTGTGTGAGATATTTGAAGGCTGGTATTTAATCTTTAAGTACCAAACTGTCAATAAACCCAGGACAACAGCGCAAACCTTTACTTGAACAGTCTGTATTTGGTCACGTTCTTCAGTAAATCTGCACGTTCATCTCTGCGTGTCCGTGCACACACTGGTCTCTGTCACTGCAGCGTCCTTAGCGAGGAACAGCTCTGATCCGACTGAACGACGCAGGCGAGGAGGAAAATGTGGAAACGGAGCTCTGATGTCATGTGCAGACACACACAATACTGCTGCTGTTCACATGCACGCACATGCTGACTGTGCACTGAATGTTCTCTCTCTCCAGGTGAAATGTGACTCTCCAGCTTCAGTTTGCTGAGAGTTCTGCTACAACAAGCACAGCTGTGCCATTGGGTGAAGCCTCACATGTCAGACGAACATCGAGCTGAATCAGACTTGTTAAATAGTTTTTACATCTGTGGAAACTGAAGCCAAGGAGCCAGTCTTTCCTCGAGGTGCTAGAGACCAAACACTCTGGACTCCAGATGGATGACCACTGTACCAACAATGAGAATAATAATAATCATAGAAGTAAATTAGGCACTCACACCTACAAACATACCTACTGCTAAATGGAATCAACATGAGGCGTTCAGGAGCTAAATTAAGAGTCGGCCATTAAGGAACTTAAGTCAGTGCAGGGCAACAATGAGCATTTCAGTTTTGAAAGTGTGTACACAGGCGCATGTTACAGTGGCCCGGTGCTGGGTGGTCCAGGGGCACCTGTTTGGGGGGTGTGCTAAACCCTGTTGGGCGGAGCCGACGGGCATCAATCACAAACAAGTTCATCGTGTGGGTTGATGGGGACGGGGACACTCGGTGTGTGTCAGTCTGGTCAGGACATATCTTTGTTAACAGACTGGGCTGTGCACACAGGAGACTGAGGGGAGCAGCTCTAGACTTTACTGTGCACATGGATGAACAGTGGCAGTGAATGCTGGTAAATGGTTTCCTCTGTGCTGAGTGTTTTTACTTATCAAAATCATATCTCTGTATAATAAAGTGCTGTTTTCAATGTAACTGCTTTGTAGCTGTATCTGCCTTCATGGTGTTGGGGCCTGTCAGGGTCTTACAGTGGTCCATGCTGACAGTTGAGGCCTGGTGAGGAACATGAACATGGGGTGTCAAATGAGTGCAGGGCATTCTGGGACACAATGAGTGTTTGTCTGCACACAGGCTCATATTACATCTTGATCAGGTGCTGTGATATGAGCCCGGTAATGAACAATGGGCTGACATTTGTGGGATGTTCAAGAATTCAAATGAATGTGGGAGGCAGAGCACGTGAATGGAGCGTGGAGCTTGGACAGAGTGCAGAGTGCCTTCTTTTAGAAAGGAGGGAGCGTCGCCCTGTTTCTTGTCCCAACTTTGCTCCGGCCTGGTTTGGGGCTGATATGTCACCTTGCAGCTCATAAAACAGTATGTGTGATGTGAGAGTGCAGGTAAGAATGAGGAGTAACCCTCTTGGCAAAACAACAGGAAGCAGTTGGATTTCTAATTACAGTAATATTCATCTGAATTAAATTTATTGGAAGCAAGTCTCTTTAATCATCTTAATTGTTCTCTGCAAAGCTCTTTTCAGGTTCAGTGACCAAGACACAAACACAGATTTAATATTAATCCCACAGTTCATTTCCTTAGCAAGGCATCAGTATTTTAATGCTGTAAGAGAGGGGCTCCACAGACGGCGGTCAGTTAACAGGACAGGCTTATTAATCAGACAGGTTTAAATGAGGACTCGTTTCGTCCAGGGCTGCACAGAACACACACGTCCAGCTACTGCAGCAGCTTTAACAATAGCACGTGGACCTGGACCTGAACAGGCTTTGAAGAAGTGACCTCTGACCTTTTCACTGCTGCAGGAACTTTATCCTACTGTCGAACAGAAAGAACATGCGTGTGGGTTCACAGCTGAGATGTGTGCATGTATGTCATCCCCTCTTCCTCTGTCAGCACGGTGGCGGACGAACAGGACAACATCTGGAACACATCCTCACACATACACAGAAGGCTTTTATTTTGAAAGAGCAGCCCTGGAGAAGCCCTGCTCTGAGGCAGAAGTTGATGTAGGAGAAGGCATCACTTCCTGTCCCACTGTGTGTGTGTGTGTGTGTGTGTGTGTGCGCTTCCTGATGTGACACTGTGTATTATCTGCCTGCTGCAGTAAAATGATGTGCTGAATAACTGAGTCATGCTTCCTGTCCGATTATCCTGCGTCATGTCTGTTTCTGGTTTGGTATCATGTCAACTTCACTGCACTCATATCGTTGTCGTTCTTGAACTTCTCTTTCTAAATATCTTAAGGGATTTAATTTAGTTTTTATGCAAAGTTGAACGTCACCTCTAAGAAATTGGTCCTTCAAAGTAAAACCAATTTCTCCCAGCGCTCTCTACAACTGGGAAACAATTTAAATGATGACCAACTACCAGTGTTGGTAGGAGACAAGAAGCCGAGGTGCTCGGGTGTGATGCATGTGTTTAATGTTGTGGGGGTGGTACCAGTGGCAAACATCTGATACTGAGCTATAAATTGGATGTGTTGTTACAGAAGGCCTCTTTCCATTAACAGACAGGATGCAAACTCCAGCCACCAACAGACTTGTGCCCTCAATCTTCTGATTGATGTTTAAATGCATCATTAAACTTGGTTGTTGCAAACATGCTTTCTGTCAGCTGTAGTTTAATGGCCGGTGTGGAGACTGAACCTGTGACGTTGGCGTTATTAGCACCACGTTCAAACCATCTGAGATACACAAGCTGTTCTTTTGTAATGTTTCTTACAAAATTTGTTCCAGGTTTGAATGGAACACAGTGAAAGACAGAACATCCACTGTACACGTTCAGTCAGGTTTGCATGGTAAAAGCTGTGGACAGATCCCAGCATTCTCTGGGGAATGAAAAGGACTGTTACAGAAGACTTTTCTACCCCTGTACTAGGGACTAGAATCCTTAACCTTCTGATGTGAAGTCAGACGCCTTGTCCATTAGGCCGCGTGGCCTTAGACGGCCAGCGATGGCATTTCAGCATCTGTCTGGCTCAAAGGAAAGAGAGAGCGCTGACTGAGCTACATGAGCTAGCTGTGGCACAGGAGGCAGAGCAGACCGCCCCCCAACCACATGGGTTTGTGGTTCGATCCTCGGCTTCACTAGTCCACATGTCAGTGTCTCTGGACAAGACACTGAGCCCCAGGTTGCTCCCAGTGATATCACCAGTGTGAGGGTGTGAACGTTTGTGTGCACAAATGAGTGAACGGGTGCTCTTTGAGGGCACCTCAGTGTGTAGCATGAGGCCATTTAAACCGCCCCTACTGAGGCAGAGTTTTATTGGTAGCCCTTCACTAAAGCGACCATTTGACTGATGCAGGGTTGGGTGCATTATACGTCTGTGTTTCTGCCACAGTCCTAGAGATTCTGCAGCTGGTGAAGAAGCGCGACCTGTTCCTCGCTGACTCCCACATCCTGGAGCTAATGAAAAGGACTGTTACAGAAGACTTTTCTCCTCCTGTACTAGGGACTAGAATCCTTAACCTTCTGATGTGAAGTCAGACGCCTTGTCCATTAGGCCGCGTGGCCTTAGACGGCCAGCGATGGCATTTCAGCATCTGTCTGGCTCAAAGGAAAGAGAGAGCGCTGACTGAGCTACATGAGCTAGCTGTGGCACAGGAGGCAGAGCAGACCGCCCCCCAACCACATGGGTTTGTGGTTCGATCCTCGGCTTCACTAGTCCACATGTCAGTGTCTCTGGACAAGACACTGAGCCCCAGGTTGCTCCCAGTGATATCACCAGTGTGAGGGTGTGAACGTTTGTGTGCACAAATGAGTGAACGGGTGCTCTTTGAGGGCACCTCAGTGTGTAGCATGAGGCCATTTAAACCGCCCCTACTGAGGCAGAGTTTTATTGGTAGCCCTTCACTAAAGCGACCATTTGACTGATGCAGGGTTGGGTGCATTATACGTCTGTGTTTCTGCCACAGTCCTAGAGATTCTGCAGCTGGTGAAGAAGCGCGACCTGTTCCTCGCTGACTCCCATATCCTGGAGCTGGAGCAGGAGTGTAACGAGGCTGCTGCCGCAGACCGGGGCGCCGCGGCGCAGCCAGAGGACGCCGGCAACCTGGGCACCAAAGACAGTGGGCGGAGGAAGGCGAAGGATGTGGAGCTGCTGTACGAGGAGCTGCAGAAGGAACTGTGGGCCGTGGTCAGGGAGTCTCTGCGGTCCCCGACAGCCGGGCCCAACCTGGGCCTGGTGGTGCAGGTGAGGACTGCTGCTGCTGCTGTGCACAGGTATCGATGCTGCCTCACCTGTCCATGTGTGTGTGTGCAGGTGCTGCAGCAGGAGGAGCAGGCTGATAAAGACTGGAGCCTTAGCGAGGCAGCAGCCCTTGGGGACCCGAGGCCCCGCCATCTGAAGCAGAGGTGGAGGGAGGCGGTGGAGGAAGCAGCCGACAGCTCTCTACCTCAGAGAGCAGAGTTCACAGCTGGAGAGCTGGATGGATACCTGAACCAGCTCCGAGCCCGGGTGGTGGAGGACCTGGGGGCCGCCAAGAGGAACGTGGTCTCCATTTACCCTGAAGACTACCAGCCCTTCCAGGTGACATGACACATGCATGGAAAGATCAGGCACAAAACACCTGCTGTTTACGAACACCCACACGTTTTAGATCAAACAATGACATGAATGTCTGTGGAAGAACTGATGACAATTTGTTTGTCTTGAACGCAGCGAGGCCCCAGTACAAGCCTGTCAAAATGACATCATGTCACACAGCTGCTCGTGCACGCCATGGTTTTGTCGCCAAATCTTTCCTTCATGCTCAGTTTCTGTTTACAAACAAAAGACATGACAGACGTAAAATATACTGTAGGATGTGTATGAAGTGCTCAGAGCAGCGGTGGGAGAAGTACTCAGGTACTCAGGAAATACTCTGTTACAAGTAGAAGTTCAAAATGTTAAGTAAATGTACAGTATCAGCATCCAAATCTACTTGAAGTACCATAAGTACCAGTACTGGTCCAGCAGAACGGCCCGTGTCCCAGTAACGTCTCTGATACTGGATCATAGTGACTAATTACTCTGTCCATCCATCCATCCATTTTCTTCCGCTTATCCGGGGCCGGGTCGCGGGGGCAGCAGTCTAAGCAAAGATGCCCAGACCTCCCTTTCTCCAGACACTTCCTCCAGTTCCTCCGGGGGAATGCCAAGGCGTTCCCAGGCCAGCCGAGAGACATAGTCCCTCAA